CAGTTGCTAGGCAACACGGGAACTTGTTATAGCAGTCGGGTATCATGGCCCGCCACAGTTGGGGTGGGGGTGAGGGTACGTGCACGGGGCTGCATGGGTGACGAGGTTGGGAGTTGGAGCCTCTGGGGGTTGAGGGGATGATGACGACCGTTCCGACTGGTGCTCGATGACGGAGACTTATCAGCTCCTCCCGCAACCACCAAAACATTTCTCCTGTCTGACGTGGGACCGAACAGTCAACGCCAAGGAGGTTTCTGGGAGGAGCAGGTCTACATGGGGGGTAAGATGATGAGGAGGAGGAGGAGGAGGAGGAGGAGGAGACCAGGAGGTTTAATTTCCTCTTCTACAGTCGTGATGTGGGAGAAAAAACAAAACATTAAGTTTTCTCATAAATAATCCTTATCATCCCCATAGCCTCACAGTGGAGATCTACTGGAACAATCCATTGTTACCTTCAGTCTTTTTGTATTTTTATTCTCTATGTGACTCAGTTTTATTTATTTTTTTAAAGCTTTGTTTTTGTTTCATCTTGTCTTGCTTTTTTTAAACACCCTTTATATTTTATTTGAATCACATTGAATTACCTTCTTGTTGAAATGTACCACAATGTTTTCCACCTAACTAGGACTCCAACAAATTATCATTTGATTAAGACGTGGCAGCATCGATATCAACAGCACTGACGACAGAACAGAACAAAACAGAACAAAGTAGAATGATGCAGCAGTTCATCAGCCAATCGATTAAACGGAATAAAAAACGAGCCGCAGCTAATTGATCCTCCTAATCACCCTTTGGAGCAAAAGGCCAAATATACATGTGAAATGATACTTGTGATTAATTATATGATCAAATACAACTTCCCAGTTTCTGATTTGTGATGTTTTCAAATGTCTTGTGTATTTCTCTGGATAGTCCAAAACTAGAAATAGTAAGTTTACTAAATAATAAACTAGAGTAGCCCTCAGTAGAGCACACACCTCCACCAAGGTCCATGAATTATTCTACGGAAAATCCTGTGGTCTCCCCCCCGACCCTTCCACCAAATTTGTTGGTAATCCATGCAGTCGATTTTGTGTAATCTTGCTTACACAAAATATATATATATATAATGTTAATGCATAAGCGTGTTTGTTGTTCTCAGAATTTAAAACCAAAACCTTCACTCAGATTTTAAACTTCACAGAAATAATAATGTGACATTTATCGTGATAATTAACTTTTTTTTATTTTTGTGTTTTTATCTCGATCTACTTTTTGGCCGCCTCATCCATCCAGCTCTATCTGTTACATCTTCAGGAGAAAGACTTGAACGTCACCATATTTTTTTCAAACGCCTCCACATTGATAAACAGATGATATTTTCCAGTCAACAGGTAAAGAAAGACCTGTAGAAACGCCAGCGAGTCGATTGGGGGGAACGGAGGAGGATGTGCTCGACTAGCTGCGCTGCCCGTCCTGCCCTCAGGCGATGGAGGCTGCCAACACATCACCTCAACACCCATGTGATACTCTCCCACTCCAGCCCTCATCCCCGAGAGGCGACCTGGGAGCGGGTTTGTCAAGCTTAGTCAAGCTTACTGTACCTTCTGCCAGAAGCAGCGCTGCTCGCCGGAGCTCAGTCGAGCCAAAGGGGGCAATTTATAAAACATTATAATCACATGAGGAGAAATGTCTCTGGCTTGATAATTAGTGGTGGTGAGGGGGGAGGGGGGTATCTTTGATGCCGTTTGGTGTGGCTGCAGTGCAACAGTATAATGGGCTTCTTCATTGTCCTGTTTCCAGCTGTCTCCAAAGACACTAATGAAACACATGTATTCATAATTCATGCAGGTTTTAGGCTAATGGCCTTTTGTCATGGTGTGAGTGTAGCCGCGATGTTTGTGTCGAAATCCACTCACATCCATTTAAAAAAACACACGGCAGATTACAACTGACACCACGGTGGACAGGAAATCTGCAATTTATTGATTGTGTATGAGAAACCTTAAAGAGTTGGAATGCTTTAGATTAGCAGGCTTTATGTTTGCTCATCATGTCTCTAACCTTAATAAATCCATAAAAATAATAATCAACACCAACCTGCACAACCCCACAGTAACTGAGACATCAGTGAATAAAAATGTATTCGATAAAGTGTTCAGTCTTCTTGAATCGATTTAATTTGCAGCACAAAGTCATTATATTGTAGCTACTGTGGCTACAGCTCGTTGGTATTATCTGACGATTATGAAGTATTAAGTGATTATTCCTGAGGTAGATCAAGCGATTATTCATTGGTAAGAAATAATAATCTAGAAATTATCCAGAGTATTCGATTGAGCCATCTGACCTCAAGGTTCAACCCAAAAGACGTGTTTTCTGCTCTGGTTTCTTTTCTATTCGACTTTTCTCTTTAAAAAGTCAAAAGAATATTTAGATTGGATCTGGGGAAAATATTTCAGACGAAAAGAAAACTGACTGCAGCTGTACATATTTACTGAATGGACCAAAGAGTGATATCAGTCTCCTCTCTGACTCCAGGCAAGATGGAGCATCAGAGTTATTTACAAAAATGTCAAAAATTATATCAATATTAAAAAGTCAGTTAATTGTGTTGATAAATGTCACATCAATATTTCCTTTAAGTTTAAAGACTGATTTAAGCTCCTGAGTGAAAGTTGCGGATTCAATTCTTCTTGATCAGCAGAGACTTTATGAACAGAGAAACATTTTACTAATCGGAGGCAGATCAATGATGTGTTGTTCCTCCTTACTGTGGTGACACAATGCATAAGCAACATACCGATTAGATAGATAAACATTGGACTAAAGTTATATAGTGATAATTATTGATTTCTCACTCTGTCATTTTAACTAACCTGGACTGAGAGGTTATTACTCGGTGTGAGATCAGTCTGAGGAACACTCGGAGGAACACTCGGATTCACAGCAGGTCCCTCAGCTACAACAATCAAACTGTAGGCACCACTACAGACCACCCAGGCACATCTGAACCTGGACCATTTGTTTTTATGTCACCATCGGGCCCCTCTCACCGTCGCCCTTTATGGCCCCTGACAACTCATGTGACAAATAGGCTCCAGGCTGCCTCTCTCCTGATACCTCAGCTCCCTCTGCAATCTGCACTTCCCCTTTCACAATAATCATCTGGTAGTAAAGACTGTCCGTGTGCATGAGCCATGGGGAATCACTGTCTGGCATCAGGATCCACCAGCTGCCAGCGTCAATCACACAGTTTGTGTGCTGTGGTGAAACCATGCCACCCTGTGGAGGGAAACGCTCCAGAGCCCATGAGATGGATGAGCAGATCCCAGGCTTTTGCAAACCTAATCCACATGTAACGCTGGATGTGGAAGTTTAAAGTTGATATTAATGTGATGTAACGTTTTATTGATCCCAGAGGGGAATTCTCTTTTCACCTTTTACCCTCCACCTTTGCGTCAGAGAACTGGGTCAGATACAGAAAAGCCGCCTCTCGCTCAGGGACATGTTCGCAGGACGGATGCTTGCTGACACTGCAGCTCGGAGCCGAGTCCTCTGGTGGTACGATAGTGTCCGTGTTCACATCAACACCACTCATCAGCACCTCATCACTGCTGCCTGGCTGTGCAGCACACAAACTGCACTGTGGCTGGAAGAGTCAGTGGTTGTGCGTTGAGCACATTAATGTTATATTTGTTCATGAGGGCTTATTCTAAAGCAACTGACGCACCAGGGAGATTCTATAATTTACTCCATGGATTTCCTCCACAAGGTTTTATAACTTTATTTCAATAGCACTTATCTAAACAAGGTTACAAACTCCACCCCTTAGAGTTTACAGAGAAACCCAACAGTTCCCACACTGGGGTAAATAATTCCAGAAAAATGTGGCTCCTGAGTGGTTTCTATCCTCCACAACGTTCACAGGTATCTATATATTACGTATATTCACATTGAGGTTCAGCTAACGAGGTCAGATCCCTTCTACACCCACTAATAAGCTCCGGGCTCTGACCTGCTCTGTGGAGTGGCTGTGAGGATGAGGCTGGGTGAATGGATTATGAAGTGGGTTCCTCTCACCTGGGTTTACTGTCGGTGGCTGGAGAACAGAGGAGGCTGTCAGGCTCTGACCTGCCTTGATCATCGAGCCGCAGGTCACTCAGAGTTCAGCATCTGATCAGAAAGCAAAGAGAACAGGAGAGGAGGAGGAGGAGAGGAGGAGGAGGAGGAGGAGAGACAGGGAGGGATGGACGAGACTTTATTTTGTTAGTGTGTTAAAAACAATGGCACTCAGCCTGAAGCCTGGTGATGCTAACACTGCCTATCCCACTGAGAATCTTCAGTGTGTGGCTGTGAGCAGCTGTCAGATCCTTTCACCAAGTGAATCTATATTTATATATGTGTGTGTGTGTGTGTGTGTGTGTGTGTGTGTGTGTGTGTGTGTACATGTAAACAGTGTGTAAACAAGAGGAATCTATATGGAACCTTATATATTGATATTTCTGTAAATAAATATTGCGATCATTACTGCTATTGTTTAACTGCTCAACATTTCTGTAAGGTTGAAATTGCTGAACCTCCCTCACCTCACCCTCTCCTTCCAAACAAGAAAAAGAAACTGTGGAAGCCTTTAATTGTCATGAAAACTCAAAAGGTGTTTAGTTTGTCCAGTCTGGACTAATGTAAAAAAAAACATGGCAGCCTCCATAGAGACGTTCCCCTCGATGTAAATATAAAGTATTTAAATATAAAGTATTTAAATATAAAGTATTTAAATATAAAGTATTTAAATATAAAGTATTTAAATATAAAGGGTCTTTTCTGGGGTAAAGAAAACTACAATTCAAACAATTTAGATGAAACAAACTAGTGAAAACGTCATGAGGATTATTTTACATTAAAGTTCCCTTTCACCTAAATCCTACACACTGCACCTTTAAGTTAAGTTTGAATAATTCAGCTATTTAACAGATAAGAAGCATTTTTCTACATCAGCTGACAGAAATAAACACACATGGCTCTGAGGCTCAGCTGAACCTGTGTCACTGACTCTGTGGAGTCTCCATCTTGTCGGAGGGAAATCTCCGCTGCGTCTTTTTATAGCTCGGCTGCAGTGAGTCCTGGTGCGAGCAGCAGCGGACAGAGGGGTCAGTGTTTGCAGGGAACAGGCCTCTGGGCTCGAACTCACCACAGACGGCGGAGCTCAGAGGAGAAACACGCGGACCTCGCTCCAGAGCCCCGGTGTCTCCTGACGCGTGTGGCCGCCTCTCGAAGCCTCGTCCCTGGGAAGAGCGCGCTGCCATGGACCGGTGAGACCGCCTCAGTTTCCTGTGACACTTTTAACTTTGAATCAGATCAAACCAGAGTTCAAGAGTTCGTTTAGTTTCTCTTGTTTTTATGTTTGATCCACGTTTGAATTAAATCTGAACTTTTCTTCCACAGTCTAACATGTTGACTGGAGAATAAGAACATTAACATATAGAACTATTTACAGATCTACTATTTACAGATCTATGTGCTTGTACAACCAAAATACTTCCTCACACAGGATTTACTTCAGCATTAACTTGTTGTTAATTTTAATTATTTCATATTTAAGATGCATGCTCAGGGTTTGAACATGCATCTGTCAACATGGTGTTTCTTACTAATACTTCTTATCTGAATCAACAATTCTCATTGTAAAGTTGCAGTAAGACCCCAAAGTAAATTGTTGTATAAACATAAACCTGTATGAGTCTTTTACAGCCACGTCACTCATTCATGTTTAAACGTTCGGTTTATCATTTCAAGTTGTCAAAAAAGGAAAATGTGCAAAATGTCTATAATTTGAATTACTGTGAGAAAGAAATGAATTTGGTAACTAGAAAACAGTGTCTCCTCCATGCAGTTTCATTTTTAAGCAATTTTTATCTTCTAATTCAGGGATTGTTTATAATATGGCTTAGTTTTTCTCACCACTATTCTTTCTGTGCTTGTTCTCCCAACAGATGTGCCACACTGGAGCACTATAAAGCCGGCATGCTGCTGAGCGGTGTAGGTGACGCTCTTGGTTACAGGAACCAGCTGTGGGAGTACAATGAGTCTGGACCAGCTATTCACCAGGTCAGAGCTCAGGAGCAGGGAGGGGAACGCCATTCTGATGAGACGTGGCTGCTAAAGGTGCGTTTCACCCAAAATGTCTGTGCTTTCAGGAGCTGAAGGAGCTCGGAGGCCTGAGGAACATCAAGGCTGAGCTTCCTGATTGGCCGGTGAGCGACGACACGGTTCTTCATCTGGCGACGGCTGAAGGACTGGCCACTGGTGAGATAAGAACAAAAACCCACATTGAATGTTCCTGTGTCTCCTTTCCTCGTCAAATGGAGATTGATTCGATCGTCAGCGTCGTTGTGATGAGGCCTCATCAGGAGAGAGAGAGAGAGAGAGAGAGAGAGACACACACACACATTCTTGTCCTCAAGAGCCAAAACTAAAGGTTGATTCACAGCCTTTGCTTGATTTGCTGCTTGATTTGCTGCTCAATTATGGCTCCGCACAAGTGGAGGGAGAGTGGCAGGAATTAAACTTGACCTTCACCGTGATAAGGCAAACAACAAGCCTCGTTAACAGATGTTGCGTGTTTTTAAAAAATGTCAACACGGACACGTTTGCTCTGCGATTGTCCCCCTCACAGGGAAGACGGGGGAGGCGCTCCTGCACGAGGTGGCCGCTCGATATGTGGAGGGGATGAAAGACATGGACGGGAGGAAACCGGGGCCTTCCAGCATCCTGGGTGAGAGACGGCTTCATTTCTCGATCGTTACATCCATGGCCAGCGATGGTGGAGATCTGCCTTACTTTCTCTTCCAGGAGTGTCGCAGTTGAAACCTGGGGAGGAGGAGGGCTACAGAATTCCTTATAACCCAGAGGGGACGGGGTGTGGAGCAGCCATGAGGTCCATGTGCATTGGCCTGAGGTACGAGTCTGTTCCTGAGAATAAAACATAATAACTCTACTTATTGATATTGGTCTTGACCGAGCATCGCAATGATCCACAGTCGTTAAAAAATTCTCTTTACACTTGTTTTTTTTTTGCTCTTCTCATGTTACTGACACGACCTTCGAAGTTAAGGTCAGAATCCAAAATAACTCCCGACCCCCCACACCTCATGTCAGAGACACGAGTGAATACATGTCCTCCTCACTCTGAGGAACCAACGTGTCCCTGTTATCTCAGAAAAGACAAATGACTACTTCCATTATTGATTATTTTCTCAGTCAATTTTTATAGTCAGTAGAATGTAAGGGGAAAATGTCTATCTCCCAGGGTGGCCTCTTCACAACTCATGCATCTGACAAATAGTCCAAAAACTCATGTTCACTTAACAATTACATGAAATAGAAAAAAGATCGAGCAGTAAATGTACAGTGGTGATTTGAGCCGCTCTTATGTACTTTATAATAAACACAACAGTGTGGAAAGTGTTAGTTCTTTGCTCACTAAGCAGAAATTAAATAAATAACAAGAGTTCCCAGATTAAAACATGAACTAGAAGCAGCGAGAGCAAGTAGGAAGAACTTAATATATACAGTATATTTATATTAATACTTCGTCCTCATCAGGTATCCAAAACCTGACCAGCTGTTGTCGCTGGTGGCAGTTGCCATGGAGACAGGGAGGATGACCCATCCCCACCCCACTGGATTCCTCGGAGCTGTGGCGTCGGCCCTTTTCACCGCGTACGCAGTCCAGCGCAGGCCAATCACGACGTGGGGTCTGGGCCTGATCAACGAGGCATGTCCGATAGCAAAGACCTTTGTTCAGGGTCGAGGCTTCGCCGTGGAGGCGACGGAGAGAGACTGGAGCTACTTCTGTGACAAGTGGCAGTGGTATGAGGTTGTCATGTTTCATTCAGCTCCAGGTTTCCAGCATCAGCAGCTTCCTTAAGCCTCTCTCAGTCTCAAGGTTAATATATGAAGGCATGAAGTTCACGCAGTGCAGCAGCGTGACCTTGTTTTTGTGCTTCGGTGCAGACGATGGCCGAGTTGCTGAAGGCAGTATGTTTTTGGGTCATCCGTCCTTCATGCTGTTGCACTGGGGAATGTCTTCGCCTGGAATGACTTATTGCTTCTTTCTCTTCTGGAGGATAATGTGCATGTGAGCAAAATCTCTCGCCTCTGTTCCACAGGTACCTGGATATTAGGGGCATCTCCAACGGCGTGGGCCCTGCGATCTGGCCCTCGTCCTACGGCCCGGCTGAGAGAGACGAAGCCTACAAGAGCTTCAGCCTGTCGGGCTGGGCGGGACGAAGCGGCCACGATGCTCCGATGATCGCCCTCGATGCCCTGCTGGGCGCGGGCTCGGACTGGGAGGAGTTGATGAGCAGAGCGGGTTTCCATGGAGGTCAGAGATTCAATCTAGAAAGTGTCTCTTTTGTCTATTATCATGGGACGTCAGGGAAGTACATCTTAGAATTCATAGACTGTAAATAAAGATGGACGACGCATCTCCTCTTCCTCCCAATGTCCACAAATGAAGCCAATATATTCCGGACACGAATGCTGCCTCGTGATCGATTTTTAGCTCAACATGTTGCGATGGTTACACACGCTCACCAATCACTTAGCCACCAATCACCATGTTTCACACATGAGCGCTATCCGATCTGAGGGCATTCACACCGGTACCAGTCATATAATCCATTGTTAATATAAAAACATTGATTAGCTGCTTTTAAGTTAATCTAAAAAGATCAATTCCTATTAAAAATGGAAATTTTAATTTATCTTCTCATGCTGTTTTCTCTGTCCACTTCCTCCACTTCCCGTCCAGGCGACAGTGACAGCACCGCAGTGATCGCCTGCTGCTGCTGGGGTCTTCTCTACGGCACACAGGGCGTCCCTGAGGGAAACTACTCCAAACTGGAGTACAGGGATCGACTGGAGCACAGCGCCGAGCAGCTCTACGCACTGTCACACTGAGGTCTCCGCAACATGCCGTGCTGACATTGCGTGTCTTAACTTGTTGCACTGAGAGGAAACTGGGCCACACTGGGCCATGCTTGCCTGAAGGGGGAGTAGTGTCCCACTGACCTAAAGTCAATCATTTCTGCCACAACAAGGCCTTTGTTGTGTTGGTGCTGAGGTTGGCGTATAAAGAGGGCTCCCCCTAGTGACCGTTTGAAATGAACATGCAGAGTTGTACTAAGCGGAACGAATCCCGGCTAATGAGAATGTTAGGAGAATACAAAACGTCCCCCAGGAGGTAATTACTTTGTTTTGTCAGCTTGACATAATAGTAAATGCTTAGTTACTCCAAATTAAATGTGCTTTTGTTATCGTCTAATGAAAAATACAATTCTGCGTCTCACTATAGTTAACTGGGGCCTCATTCAACTGTAACTGCAGTTTCATGCACAATTGTTGATACAACAAATTAAACAAAGCTTTGTAGTTGAGTTGAAAACTTTATTTTTTGGTCATGATGTTTTAATATTTTTTTGTCCAACTTGTCCATTTTTTTATTAATTATATTTTTCTACAGGAGAGAAGAAGGGTAAAGGGGGTGGGTGTAACTACTGGATCAAGTTTAAAAAAAGAAAAGTTATTTGCTAAAAATCCCCTCTCGTCTTCAAATCCCTCCTTTCATGGTGTACTCATGATATCCTGCGACAGTCAGTGTTTTGTGTTATGGTACTTACAAAACCCCACAAGGCTAAAAACACATTGCTAGAAGTGTCTGCTGTTGCTTTGTCCTCTTCGACTGGTTCGCCAAGCAAGGTGCCCCGTGTCTGAAAAGGGAAGAAGTTGGAAAGAAGAGCAGGATGGCAGCGGGGTGGGGTGGGGGGTCCGGACACCTCTGCTGCCGTCTGCCACCATCATCTTTAGCATTAAAAAGGTCTTCCTCATCTGGGGCTGACGCCTATGAAGAACAATATAGCTGAAGAATAAGGTGCTGTGAGACTTGAGTCCTCTTCTCTCCTCCGTGCGATCCTGTCAGTCTGGTTCAGTCTGGGCCTCACATCCAACAAGTTGTGGGGATGTTGGAGTTCATTCCGGGGAGCAGTTTGAGAGGGTGTGGTGGTGTCGAGGGGTCTGGAGGGGTTTAGTTTCCAGGTGGATGGAAGGAAGCAGGGTGCGTTTGTACCTGCATTGCTGTGGAAAGGAAACAAACAGTGACATTAGGAATTGTGTACTTTAAACAAAGTCAGACTGGGGTTGGGCATCTGTTGTGTCTCGTACCTTGTGGATGTCCTATGTAGAAGTGCTGGTGTGCTCCTTGCTGAGGTCCGTGCTGGGGGTGCTGGGGCACCGAGCCGGGGCCCTGCTGAGGCGGCTGCAACATCACTAACTGGGGCTGACCGTGGCTGCCCGAGTGGTGGGGACCTGACATGGCTCCCTGTACGTGGGCCTGGAAGAGAGGGTGGCCAGGAGATTGACAGGTTTAGGTCAAGATGAAACTTCAATTAAAAATAGTAAATAAAAATGTATGCAAACTATGCGCAGTGATGACCATACCTGTGTTAACTGTCCCAGGGGGTATGATGGTGGGATGCCCTGGTGGCTGTGGATGCTGTAGCCCTGAATAGGGTACGAGCCCTGTGGAGACGTGTGGCCTGGCGGCATGTTGGGTGGGGTGGGAGCTGACAGAGGACCTGAGTGGTACAAGGACTGAGGCTGTGGGCCTGACTGGGCGTTCTACAAGAAGAGAGCACAAAACGTTAGCGATCATAAATAAATCAGAATTGCTGCGTCCTGGGAGCTGGATCTTTCTGAGAATGCAGCGCACAAAGGTGAATCCTTCTGAGGACTTGAAGGTCAGTCCTGTAGGGGTAAGCTCACCTGTCCTGGGCTAGGTGCAGTGTGTTGGGGAGGGGGCTGGTTGCCTGTTGGGGTACTAGAGGGCTGAGGCTGATGCACTGCGCCCGTGTGGTGGGAGAAGGACTGTGGAGCTGGAAGGAGAAGACAGTCAGTTCCCCCATAATGCATTTCAAGCCTTTGATGAAAAATGTATATTCTGAACCTCACAGAAAGAAAGTAACTCTCATCACACACAGATTTGTTCCACTAACCATAGATGCCCTGCTGTGGTCCCTGAGGGCCGTCTCCCTGTGTAGGGAACTGAGGGCCTCCTGGGGGTCCCAAAGCTTGTGGATGGGGACCCCCACCTTGACCTATCATCCTGGCTCCACCCTGCAGCATGGAGTACATTGGCTGGAGAGAGAAGAGAGAAACAAATAAAGCAATGTTTAATATTTGTTTTAAATGTGAGGGTTAGATGTTGATCAATTAGCTTTCAGAATAAGATACCCCCCCCAACAAATTGTTTTTTATTGTATGCTAATACACACAATTTAAAACCAGTGACTATGACATCATACCTGTCCAGGGTAGGGTGTCATGGCCTGGATGACCTGCTGCTGGCCGTACTGCTGTGGGTTGTACTGAAGGTAGGACTGAGGGTAGGGGGATGCTACCAGCGGGGCCCCAGCTGCTGAGGCTGCAGCTTGCAGCATTTGGGGCGCTGAAGTACCATGGTCAGAGCGTTGAGCCACTACTGAGCCTGGTGAGGGAGAAGAATAATTGTCAAAGCAACGAAAACATAAAAGGTTTAAACGCTGCTTCTTCAACATATTGGTACACTTACAGCAAGAGGTCAGTTCTTGATAAATTATGTAAACAAGGTGTCTCTTAAGTGTGTTTCTAGCTTTGATAATGCCCCTTTTTTAGAAGCTTTTTTAAATGGAAACAACAAATTAAAACCTCAGACATAAAACAACACAGGAAAGGAAAACACTGCATTAACCTTTGGTCCTGGGGTATTTTCCCTGGTTGACTGTCGACATGGTGTACTGGTACATGGGTGGTGGCTGAAAATAAATGATTGAGAGGTCAACACGAGACAAACTCGATCTGTTGGGAGTTGATCAGAAGAAAATTAATTAATTAAAAACATTTTTTGTCAAAGCTGTGTACCTGCACAGAATGGATCTGCGAGACGTAGGAGAGGTAGGGGGTGGTGTAGAGGGGTCCCTGTCCACCTGGGTGCTGAAGGACCACTGGGCTTGGAGGAGTTGGCCGAGGTGGAGTGGGTGCAGTGTTGGGTTTCGTCTGTAAGATCACACACAACCACAGATGAATACATTTGCGTTTCACTTCATGATACACTTCACTACATTTACTGATCTTCATACAACATCACTGATGAAGTACTCTCTGCACTCACAGTTCAGGGATTAAACAGGAATCGACTTACCATAGGCATCTGAGGTTTAATAGGGTTGAACTCTTTAGCGTTGGGGTTTAGGGTGGATTTCTTTACTTGGCTAGAGGAAATAAAGAAACATGTGTTTATGAACAACACAAGATAAATCAAATTGTTTAGTGAAACAGCTCTTATCCGTCTTGAAACTCACTCTGGTACACCCTCTGTCGACTCAGACCTGCCCTCTTCACTTCCCGGGGTCCTGGCTGGCTGTGGGACGGCTGGCGACTGCCTGTCTGAGACAGGGGCTGAGGTGGCAGCTGTGGTGGGGCCAGGTGTAGCCGTGGTATCCTTGGTGGGGTCGTCAGAGGGAGCAGGTGAAGGCTGAGGTTGGGGCTGAGCGGGACTGGCAGCTGGAGGCTGAGGTTTAGGGTCTGAAGCAGGGTGAGCGTCTGAGGGTTTGGCTGCGCTGGGCTGGGAAACGTCACCGACAGCAGGAGGGGTTGCTGCTGCTGGAGAGCTGGGAGAGCTCGAGTTGCCTCCACTCGGCTGGAGCTGGAAAAAAAAGAGAGTAAAGCAGTTAAGAGCTGAGACAAGGAAATATTTGGGTAGGGTGGAGGTGATAGCAAAAATAGAAAATAATTTAGACGTTGCAAACAGATATATGTTGTATCTGTAACAAAGCTCTCATTTTTTGCTTTTTTGAGTTGATATAGTTTTTTATATAAATTACTGGAAGTCTTCACTGATCGTTACAGTACCCAGTAAAGCTCAAGTGGGGCCCACCAGTATCCAGTGCCATGTCATTACTGGTAATGGTCACAATGAAATGAAGAAGACGTGAGTGATTTGTCAGACAAACGTCAATGTCTCAGGACATGACCACTTGATTGGTCACAGATTTTCTAATTTCACACTTCATTGAGAGGCTACTGATCTCTTACCCTGAATTCCTTGCCAAATTTCCGCAGCGCCTCGATCTGCGACCTTTGCTGCACTGAGGGAACTGGTGAGGAGAGAGGAGACAAAGGTTAATGGGAATGCGGAATTCTGAAAACTCAAAAACAAATGGGACATGCAATTAGGTTAAGTTTTAATACTTATTTCCAGTATTTTAGATGGGACAAAATCGTCCTGCACACACACCTTTAGTCTTGCTTTCCTCTGTGCTGTTGGGACTCTCAGCTGAACGTACTTTTGCAGCTGCACCAATAATCTCATTCACTGCAATGACAAGAAAAACAGCAAGATTCCACTATTTAAAGTTGTCTCTTACTGCTATGAGGTGCATGTCTTAAAAAGGTTCATGTCATTAGAGAATAGATGGTTTTGACTTTGATTGAAACTTTAAAAAACAGAAGAGGATGTGAGAGGTGAGACAGTACCATCTACAGGGAAGAGAGGGGCAGGGCCAGATGTCTTCTGGGCAGGCAGGGAGACAGATGATGTGTCTAAATAAGGCGTGTCCTGGGAAGAGACTGATTTAGGAGAGCGAGAAGCTGCAACGAAACAATGGGGGGGAAAAATACAGACCAAGTTTTAGTCAAAGTCCATCAAATATAATTGTAGAAGATTTTATAAGAGGTGACTGGGTTTGTCTGCAACTTATACCTGTAGACTGACTGTGTGAGTTTGTAGAACGGGCGGTCCTGCTTGACTGTGGAGGTCTTTGGGCTTTAGGGGACGTTCTAGCAGAGACTGTAAAACACAAAAAGAGAAAATGCTCCTTGCAGACTTTCGACAATTTTTACTTTAGCCATAGCAGCATTCATTGGTGCTGTGGAAATACCATCTGACACAAGCTCACACACTTACCTCCATTCACAGGCCTGCCAGCATCCGAAAGCGAGTGGGGGAGTGAGTGGGAATGAGGGACTGTGTGTCCGTGTGGGGCAGGGGGGCTGCCTGGGGAGGGGGCAGCTGAAGCAGAGGCCAGCGTAGGAGCCGGTCCACCAGGAGAGGCAGGTGTGTAGGAGCTCGCGGGGGCAGAGCCCGGGCCTGGGCTGGGACTTCCCTGGGGGTGGTGGGGGGCGTAGGCCCCACCTCGGCCTGACAGAGGGCTGCTTCTCTCTGACGGAGAGACCCCAGGTTGTGGCCCCGCACCAGAGGGCAGTGGAGGTCTGGGGGAGGAGGAGGATGGAGGGTTGGAGCGGTAACCTCCACTGAGACGGTTATGTGGGGGAGGCCCACCAGGGCCTCTCTC